ATGCCCAGCAAATAAACAGGACAACAGAGTTGGTGCTATATAGGTTTACATTGTCAGTATATGAAGACTTAGCTTCAGAGATGTTTCCTTAAGGTTAATCAGAAAATTAAACAAGTGAATATGTGAAATAAGAAAAGCGAAGATTCAGAACATTAACACACCTCAATATAGACGTATTAAATACTGTGATCTATTCCAGGAGAATAAGCACCTAGAAAGTAAGTTCTCCCTAGTCCAGTTCATTTGTATTTTTCACTTATTTTAAAATAATCTTTGACTGGCAATCCAATTGAACCCAACATTTCTACCGCTAAGCAAGGCAGTTATTAAGTGAATTTGCCCCACTTTACAATTTTTCTTGTCTTGGTTGTTAAGTGAATCACTGCAGTTGTTAAGTTAGTAACAAGGTTAAGTGAATCTGACTTTTTCATTGACTTTGCTTGTCAGAAGGTCAGAAAAGGGGATTATATGACCATGGCATTATCATAAATATGAGCCAGCTGCTAATCATTTGAATTTTGATGGCCATGGGGTGCTTCAATGGTTGCAAGTGTGAAAAACAGTCATAAGTCATGTCAGGTGCCACTGTAACTTTGAATGGTCATTGAACAAACTGTTGTAAGTCAAGGACTACCTGTACTATAACCTTTCCATCTACTTTCCATTTTCCATTCCAGAGTCCTGCCAGGCCAATGGTATAGCAAATCAGAAAGGTGCTGCTGCAATTTCAGCAAGCTAACTCAGAACATCAAACCGTGTTGCCAGATACAAGGAAGGCCAATAGAATAAACTTCCTCCAATTGGTGCCTTCCAAATATTCCTATCATACTGTAATTCTATAATATACTATAATTCTGAGTGCTACAGTCCCAGCATATCTGCTGTAGAAGACAAGCAGTTTGGGAAGGCTGCAGTAGAGATATATACATATGCTAAACATGCAATAAGAACAAAACATAACATTAGGTGATTTCCTCAGTCACATGGAATGTCAAAGCAAAAATATCTGAATTATATTCAACAAAATTTTACTTGCTGTCAAAATATTGCTATATTACATGAAAAATATGAGAACACAAAAACATCTGTACGACTTTGAATTTTCTTCAGATCTTCTGTTTCTGATTCATCGCTCTAGAGTAAACTGATTTTAAAAATTTGCATGACAATCACAACTGCAAGTAGTGTCTGGGGGGGATATACAAGATGCAAGGCCACAGTTGCAAAATTTACTCCTTAAGACTTACCTATAAGCTTTGTAGGCACCTGTTTAACAGAGACATGTTCAGAGAAACATGGCACTCTATTGGGATCACACTTTACAGTCTAACAGGTGGAAAGGTGATAACTTATCTTAGCCTGATACTGTAATCATATGACAAGGAAACAAAGGTAGAGAATGGAAAACATCTGGCAATATAAAACAATGGAAAAAATACAGGAGCCATAATACTGAGGCAGCAGCTGTCCCAGGACAGTTGTGTATCTAGTTCAGGGATGCACTAATCACACTTGTGAATGACATGTGGCAGAGCTGGGGTGGGGAGCACAAGAATGGTTTTTCTTGGTCTCTTAGCAGTTTTTGATACCACAGGCCTTATAGTACTTTCTGTCAGGATTCCGGCAGTGATCCCCCCATTTAAATCATGAGTCTCGAGCCAAACTTCCAAAACTTAAAAAGGATTTATTGGGAGTTAACATGTCCAGCACTGCCTGGGTGTAGCCGACTCTTAGACACATAATTCATTCCCACCCTTGACTCTGGTTTTCCCCCACCCCCTGGGTGTATCATAATTCATATTCTCCAATGAGACAGATCCATAGCCAAGAGTCATCAATCATGCTCTCCAGTTAGAATTTTGCGTGGCAGAAACTTCAGTCACCTAGTTACTATCTTTGAAAACATTTATGGAATGCACTTTTGGTTTGCAAGATGCCGCACTGCTCCCCTGTCCCTTTCTGTTGGCAACCCTATAAATACCATAGAAATATTTTATGAATTGACACCATCCTTCTGGACAATGGGGAGTAGGAGAGGGAGACATGGCATTCGGGTGCAATAATTCCCCTTTCTCTATGGTTGGTTTCAGTTGATATTGGTAAGAAGTGTAGGGAGTCATGGAGATTACCTTGGAAAAGCCTCCAGGTGCCATTAGGACAGCAAAAGAGCAGAAAATTGTTTTTATTCACTGTGAACAGGAAAGTATTAGAAACAAACTCAGACTGGATCTCTCCTGACTCTGTAGGGTATAAGAGGGAAAACCATCAGACATGCAAGATTCTGTTATTCTAATCTGTATCAATAAAGTATAATTCCACTATTCCTGTGAAATCAGTTTTGTGATCTATATACTTCACACAGCGACCAAGAAGAGACAGGTCAATGAACTGATGGTGAGGAATCACAATGCTCGATGCTCTGACCCTTCACATTTTACACCTCATGAGGCTACTGAATCAGGGTATCCATCCATTTGGAGTCAGGTATCATCATCCGTATGCTAATGATACTTACCTATCTGATCCTCAATGTTGAAGTCATGTTTCAGGGCCTAGACGCTGTGAAGATCTAGATGTGGAAGAACAAGCTCAGGTGAGCTTCTGCTACCTGTACTGCCCTGTTTGGGTCTAATACGCAAGCTAGACATCTCCTGGACTCACATTCCTGTTTGAAGAGCAAATGTTAGCTTGGCCAAGAGGCCTTTTGCATAGATTCACCTTGTATGGCAACTGCACATTTTCTTGAACTGAGAGACCTTTCTAATGGTCACTAACGCCTCAGTCACGTTTTGGTTGAACAATTGCAATGCTGTCTACCCAGGGAAACCTTGAAAACCATTCAAAAGTTATAGTTTTTACAGAGGAAGCAGTGATTGGTCAGCGATCTCTTGTGTCATCCAGCTTCTAAGAGCTTCATTGACTACTAGTTGGCAATTCAATGTGCTATTTTTTATCTTTAAAACCCTACATGGCCTAGCATTTTGTTATTTAAGGAAGCATCTGTCCTTTATTTCTGCCTGTCCTGTAAGGCAGAGGCCCCCAACCTTTTGGGCACCAGGGACCAGTTTTGTGGAGTTTCTTCTGCGGACCAGAGGGGGAGTGTGGTTTTTTGTGCTGCCTACATCCTGCAAATGGGCCTTGGGGACCCCTGCTATAAGGCTTGGGTCTCTTCCTGGTTCTGTGAATTAAGTAATGTCATCAAGCCCAGGAGATGGGCCTTTTCGGTTGTAGCACATACCTCTGAAATACTATTTCCAAGATTTACATGGAAAGGGCCATGGGTTAGGTAATGGTCTGTTTTTATCTCTAGAGATAGGAGAGAGAATTTGCTGTTCTCCAGAGGGTGCAATTTTTTGGGTTGTTTTTTTTCCTTCCTGTTTTAAATTTTAAGCCGTATAGTTGTTGGACTGAGCACCTTAGAAATGTAAAATATATGTGCTGTCCCAGCCAGTCTATGGGAATTGGATCGTTACTTAGGAATTATGAGCTGTCCCCTTAAGGGAATGCATCACGGTAAATGTAGTTAAAGGTATCCTGGAAAATGTAGTTCATGTCACGTGGCCACATCTGTAATCCTGATTGGTCACTTAATTGACCCTCGATGGGTTGGGGGACTTTTCGTCACTTTGGCCTGAACTCCCTAACTCATGGGAGCTGCTTTCTATTGCTATGAGATGGGTTAGGAGATAACCATCTTTTACTACAAGGCAGATATGCAAAGGATTAGTTATTAAAGAAAAACTTCGTCACAAATGTGTGTTATGAGGATACCTGATGAACCATAAATGTTCTTTGTTATGGACATCTTGTTATCTCTCTGCATCTGTACAGTTTATAAATCCACCTCTGTATAGGATACAGAAAAATATAAATATACCAAAAGCATTTCCAGCTTGAGGGTGAATACTGAGTAAATTGCATATTGCAGGCCTCTTTGCTTCTGAGGCAGTGCTGTGCTGGAACACCCCCCGCACGCACACACACACACACACACATGAAATCATTGCCCTGCAGTTGCTTATTATTAATATTGTAATCGCCAAATGGGTCTAAAAGGCCACTTTGTGTTTGTCAGAGGAGAAAGTGGTACAAGCACACTTTTATAACTGAATAGGCAGAAGGTTGTGAGCCACTTCAGTGTCTCTTTCTCTTTTGTTTTTAAATGAACCAGATATGGTCATGCGTGTGTTTTTTTTTAAAGTATGGGTTTGTGGGGCTACATAGTTGAAAATCGGGCTAAAATGTATCTTCTCAATCTTCTAACAGAAGAAACTTGATATTTTTTGCTCAAATATTTTTTTATGTGGAAGGATATAGCCTGTAGGACTGAGAGTAATAAATACGGCTGTAAGCTCCAGTACTTCTTTACTACTGTTCAAGAAGGAAGAAAATTGGCAACTGTGGCCACCCTGTGCTTCTCAACAGAACAGCATTGTGGATTCAAGCATGAGGACCAGTTAAACATCCACGTTGACTTTGATGTTTGACAGCTGACAGCTAGAAAGCTAGACAGAAAATAGCAAAACTGACTATTTTAATTAAAGAGAAGAACCTATCTAGATTTGTTTCTGATTGGCAACTGCTTCTGGACCTTTTTGCTCAATTTTTTTTTTAAAAAAACATTGATTTTAGATTTTGATCATTAGAATGACTTTGTTATAGAAATGGTTTGAGATGTTTAGAAATGCAAACCAAAACGTTAAGGTTATTTTTTTTTTGTATTCTCCTACACTTAACAATGCCTGAATTCACTTTTTTTTTTCCTCTTTCTCTTTGCACCTTTCTTCTTTCTTCATTTTCCTTTCTAACTTTTGTTTCTTTTTGTATTTCTATCTTGCAATAAACTTTAATAAAATGTTTTAAAAAAAGAAAGTATGTTAACATTTCCAGTATAATAGGATACACGCATCGCTGTGTGCTAGGAAAATAATCCCTTGTCTGGGTGCCCTGAAAACCTGCTGAATTCTAACTCGTAATTTCCTTCTAGCATGTCTACACCCAACCAACCTATCGAACAAAAGCAGCAGGATGCATAGAATAATCAAATAGGAATGTAATAAAGATCATGATAAAAAGAGAACACATAAATAATCTTGATAGTGTTTGAAATGTTTATAGTGTTGAAATGTTGATTCCTGAGCGTGCTACCGAGATCACACCTCAAACATACTGTCTCTTCTTTGACAAACAAGTTCTAGAAATCTGGTTCATAATAATGAGGGCTGGACAGAAGATCAATCCCAGGCATAAGTACCAAGCCATGCCTTTGATTTGGGCCTGAAACCAGTCAGAACAAATGCCCAGTACTACAGTAGAAGTGGCCAGCAAGTAAACTATCAGTCCGTACACAGTGTGGCATCTCCAGAGCTGAGCCGCTAATGAAATCCTTAGCAGTTGTGGAAAGAGCAGGCCCAATCCACACAGGACTTGCCCACAGGTGGCCAATATAGTCACAAGACCCAGGATGCTGTGCCAGGAGATGAAATGTGGGAGTTCGCTCCGGTTCTTGCTGGAGATAATGAAGACCAAGCCCAAGGTGGCAGCCACGAGGGCCAACATTTGCGCAATCCAGTGCAGCTGCACTTTTGCTTTGTGGGAGCAGAAGACAAGAGAGGCCTCTGGAGAGAAGATCAGGAGGGCTTCCGTCAGGCAGAGGCAGAACTGAGAACATAGGAACCCATTAATAACAAGGCTACTCCTAAAGTAACAACTGAGGTTAAAAATATACGTTTATTTTGCCTCTTTAAGTTTTTTTTTTTTTTAATACCCTACACCCGTGATGGCAAACCTATTGCACGCATGCCAGAAGTGCTGTCTATGGTCATGCGAGCCATCGCCCCAGCTCGGCTCCACCACTTATGCACGCCAGCTGGTCTTTGGATTTCTGCCACGAATGCATGGGGGGCAGGATGCATATGGAGGGGGCGCATGCACGGGGGACATACTGCATTCATGGGGGACGTACACACATGCGCAAGGGATGCACATGCATTGCATTTTGGGGATGCGCATGTGCTTTGGGCACTCGGTGCCGTCACTGCCCTACACCTTCATTCCATTTGCAATCTTTGGGAAAGTAATAATTGTCCCCCAAGGTTCAGCTCCTAGTACATTCCTCACACACAGATAATGGGCATGGCAGGTTCAGCCCAACCTTTCCTGGTGCAGGTTTTCAATATGCAGTAAATGATAAGGTGATATATATATATATAATAGAAAAGCACTTAAAAATCAGTTGACTGATCTGAAGTGTCACGAGAGAAAAAAATACTATTCACATGAAGATAAAGAGGTGAGTTTACTTCAAGTCAGGTTCTACTCCTGGTGATTTCATAGACATGTCTATTCAGTTCTCTGGGCACTTCTATCAAATGGTTTGCTTTTTGTTTAGATTTTTTAATCTTGCTTTTATTGATTTTATAAATAATTCAGAGTGGCAAACATACTAATATTCCTCCCTCTTCTTATTTTCCTTACAACCATAACTCTGTGGGGTGAGTTAAGATGAGAGATTGTGACCGGCCCAAAGTCACCCAGAGTAGAACCGGTGTCGAGCCTGCTACTATCAGACCAAACATTTTTCCTGATTTCTTAATGAAAAATTCCTAACCTAATGTACAATGCTGGGATTTCCTGGTCATCTCCTATGCAAGCACTTAATCAGGTCTGTCCTTGCTTATTGTGAGACAAGCACTGGCCACTGACTGTTTAGTCTGGGGATGGTACTCAGCAAACTCACTTAATGAGCATCTGCAAAAGCTGGAGAGAATGGAATAAAGGCTGATCTTTAAGTATTCCTTCTGTGCTGTTCTACGCTGTCATTGCCACTTTGGCAGCCCGCCTAGCATGCAAGCAGAAAGAAGAGAAAGCAGAAATATCACCCTTCCCTTTTTCTCCCCCGCCCCAAATCACGCCCCCCTCATGATCTGCAGTTTACACCAGCAGAGGGCTTCAAATTTTTTAACAACTGGTTCTGTGGGTGTGGCTTAGTTGGTGGGTGTGGCTTGGTGGTCATGTGACTGGGTGGACATGGCTTGGTGGTCATGTTACTGGCTGGGTGTGGCCAACTCAATATCACTCACATTGAGGCATGCATCTCCTCGCCTGGCCTTTCATGACTGTGGAGATGCTGCAACAGTCATAAGTATGAAAAATGGTCATAAGTCACTTTTTTCAGTGCCATTGTAACTTAGAATGGTCACTCCACACAAGCAAAGTACCAGCAAAGGAGGGGGAAAAAACTCCAGAGAAGTTCCTGAGACAGGAGGTCTAGTCCTGCCAAGAACGTAATAAGGGTTAACAGAGAGGCAGTTTCTGTAAGCAACACCAGAATGTTTCCTTCCTGCCTTCCTTACAGGATTAGGCCAGTAATTTCTTCTAACAACCGGTTCTCTGAACTGCTTAAAATATTAACAACCGGTTCTAGAGAATAGGTGCAAACTGGTAGAATCCCATCCCTCGTTTATATCTTAATCAGACATGCATGTACAGGTAGTCCTCAACTTACAACAGTTTGTTTAGTGACCATTAGAACATACAACAGCACTGAAAAAAGTGACTTTTTTCATGTTTTTCACACTTAAGACCACTGCAGCAAAATGAGTAGATTAACATTGGCAATTGGAGAAGAAGAAGAAGAAATGGAGTATTATATGATTTGGGATTTATTTTATAAATGGTTGGAAAATGAAGTAAGAAATTAAATGATATTGTTATAACGATAGATAATGCTGAATAGGCTATAATGTGAATGTAAACTTGGTAAGAAATGTATACAAATATTAATATGTGCACAAGATATATGTTCCCAGTCGACACACTGTATAACTGAAAGTTGGTTTTATTTTTTGTTTTTGTTATAAAAATAAAACTCTTATTTAAAAAAAAAAGACCAGCATCCCCATGGTCACATGATCACAATTTGGTTGCTGGGCAACTGACTCATATTAATGATGGTTGCAGTGTCTTGGGGACATGTAATCACCTCAGTGGTGGGATTCACATTTTTTTTTAACTACAGGTTCTGTGGGCGTGGCTTGGTGGGCATGGCAAGGGGAGGAATACTGCAAAATCTCCAGTCAGAAGTGGTATTTGCCAGTTCTCTGAACTTATCAAAATTTCCACTACTGGTTCTTAAGAACTGGTCAGAACCTGATGAATACCACCTCTGGATCACCTTTTGAGACCCTCCACCTAGCAATGTCAATGAGGAAGCCAGATTCACTTAACAACCATGTTGCCAACTTAACAGCTGCAGTGATTCACTTTAACAAAGGTGGCCAGAAAGGTCATAAAAAGGGGCAAAACTCAGTGAACGGATGTCTCACTGAGCAACAGAAACGTTGGGCTCAATTGTGGTCGTAAGTAAAGGACTACCTGTATTTTGGGCTTCAAAGGTGACCTTTGGGCTTGAAAAATGTGCTGGGCAAAAGCCTGGCAGAGCCAGGAGCACTACTGGATTTAATTTTAACGACTTAGAATTAACACAAATATTCCCCAAATGGTTAACTGGGAAGGGGGGGGGTGTAATCTAGGGGGAAGACATGCATAATTTAAAATGTTGAATTTTAAAGAGAAAGGATTTGAAGTGATAGAAAGAAACTGCAAGGCTTTCTTTAAAAAAAAAACAATCCTTCTGCTTCAGCAGCTGAATGCACAATTTTTATAGGACCGAAAACGTTTTAAGATTCTTCAGGCAAACCACACCCATTATGACTATACTGTTCTTGTTGGATGGCTCAAGTATTATTCAACAGGTGCCTAGAATACAGTACTTGCCTGAATGAAAGCACACATATATAGAGAGGTGTACGTGTTGAACGACTACTGACATCTGCAAAAGAAGGACAAAAGGACTTTCTGCCTCTCTCTCTTTAAAAGGCAACCTGTAAATGCAGCCTTAGCATTTATGCTCATTTTGTCACAAATAAAGCCCAGGAAAAATGAACAATCCTGGGATATATCGAATAAGAAGAGAACAACTTACTGCAATTGACATGAACACCGGATGCCAGGAAAATAAACCTAGAAGAGAAAAAAAGGAAGTCCATTCAGCTTTGGCAAAGCAATCTAAAAATAAACTTGACTTCATCAGCCAATTTGACGCCAGGAGACCGTAACAGAGGAAGTCTGATCTTATGCGTTTCTATGTTGCTGTTTCTGATGGTTTTATACTTTATACTTTGTTTTTTTATGATTTATTGATGTTTCCTTATCTCAATCATGTGCCAAGTGGGAGAGATATAAAATCAAATATATAAATACATGCATTGTAAAGTTGTGACTGCAATCAAACAAGTGAGGGACATCTTTGTATCTTAATTATGGAAGGTTCTGGATATCAGCCTGTGCACATACAGCCAACAGTTGCCAGTGCTAAAATGATGCAAGGAAAATATGCTAAGGTTTAGTTACAATTCTCAGCCTGACTTCTCTGGCTTTCTCAAAACGCTCTATATGTAAACTACCCGTATAGGCTTCCTAATTTCAGGAAGGGTGGCTTGTTCCAATTGTAACATTTACAACATTGTCTTTCAGTGTTTCAAACATTTTAGCAAGGACAGAGAGGATGGTAGTCTACATTGCAGGATCTAAGACGGCTTGGGAAGAATAAAAGAATCCAAGCATAATGCAGCATTTCCACTCTCTAACAAGATAATCCATTCCCTTCTAAATAGTCCTTTTTTTAAGCCTTTTAGCAAACCCTGTCTTAAACATTTTCAAGATTTGCTCCACAAATATTTTATATATTTATTTTTAATAAAGGAAACAGAATTTGGAGCACTAGAGAGCTGAAAAATGAAACCATAATTCACATAGCATGGAGTTGTTAGCTCTCAAATCTTTATGTTTTTTCTTTCATACAAATCTCTTTACATGCAGCAGCCTTTTAATAAATACACCTCATATTCAACATCTCTACACAGAGTATTTGACACTGTTCCTCCGAAATAAGAGGGAAAAAAAGATGATTCCTTTATCTAGAAAAGAAGTGACTGTTTTTAGGTTTTAACTTTATTGCATTTCATGTTTTCCCACAATTTCTTCAAGCTCTCTAAATTTATTAAGTCTTCACCCAGACCTCTTTCCTACTGCTAGGTTAAGTCTTATTCGCCCATTCTTTAGGCAACAGAAAACCAGCAAAAAATGTTCCACCCTCATTGCCAATCCCTGTTCCTGCCTCTATTGTGTCTCCCAAATGGGCTCCCCTGATTTTGCATGCACAGTGCACAGTATGCAAAGCAATTACTTCAATCTTCCAGCTTTGCTATCCTCCCTCTTTTGCACGTCAATAGGCTGATGGCAAAAACATCTGCCAATCAAGCCACTGCATCAGTAATAGGACATATTGAGCACTAGGATTATGTATGTCAACTCTATATTGCTTCCTGACCATCCCATCCCACCCCACCCCCACTTACATCCAATTTTGTCTTAGTCGGAAGAGCTATCTAATTTAGGCAACAATCGGCTCCGATAATAATTTACAAATCCAACCCTTATTTTGTGCATGCTGTTGTAGAAGTGGCACAGCTGGTACATTTTCCAAATATACATACCTGCAAGAACTATTGGCTATCACAATTCCCAGGTCACGTATTTTGCTAAAGCAGTAAGCAGTAAGCAGCTTTAAGGTGCAGGGCCATTTTAATATGTCTACCATGTTATGTACTATTTTTGTACTTGGGGGAGAAAGTACTGGATGTACTAAGGGCCCGGACAATCCCCCTTTCCTGAATTTCCACCATTGACTCTGATTATGCAATCAGCCAATTGTTCTAAAACTTTACTTTTATTTTATTTATTTGACCAAGTGTGGTTAAGACACACAAGGAATTTGTGTCCGGTACAGAAGTACTCGGTGAACTTGCAACACAACAGAATATAATAATAGTAAAAGGTTCAACCAATAAAAGGGGGAAGTAAAAAATAATAAAAGGGATAAATAATAATTTTGCAGCCACACCCTAAGGGTTAATATACATACACATCAGACAAAAAAAACTTAGTACACTAAATACACATCAGATGTGTGAATCCAAGCAGGTGCTATCCAGTTGCCTGTCATCATCCTTTTGCTGTTGGGCCAACCAGGCCAAAAGTGTTACACATTGTTGTCTATGACTAAGAAATATGAAGGAATGTAGACAAAACACAGCATAAGAAAAGAGCATATAAGACTTTGCACCCTCTCTTCATCGTTTATAAGCCTTATTATAACTTGAGGCACAGCAAGCAGAACTGTAAAGTAACCTTGTTATCCCAATCAACCTGGGGCATTCATAGCCAGGGAGGGAGGGCGAAGGGGGAGGATCAAGATAGCAACTGTGACTGTGTGATCAAGGTCCTGCTCCTCTTTTACGTGTGAGACAGCCTCCCTGTGCTTGGGTGCTATGGGAGGGGTCCACCCTTCAAGGTAGACCAGACTGAAAAAACCAAGCTATGAATCTTAATACCTCTTTTATAAAGGTTATGCTAACAGAAGCTAATGTGGCTCCCTCTCCTTCTCTTTATCTGCAAAAGAAACTAGGGAAGGTCATTTGAGATGCTTTCTCAAATTGCATTTCTGCTTCAGATTCAAGTTTGTTTTGTCTGACTGGTGTCTTGGCCGTCTCTCTCCCTCCAGGTTTTCCAGTTTACTCTTCCAAGCCCATTACATTTATGCATATTTCTACTGGTCTTCCTGAAGCCCTCTAGAAATATGGTTGCCCCGGCTTCTGAAGCTGTGTTGCATAGGTTTCATGTGCCTTCCGTGGTACACCTGCCATAGGAAGCTTCAGCCTTGAAGACTACTGAACATATTTGATACTCTAGAGCCAAAACTCAGAGCAGGAAGCTCTTGACACCTATTCAGCAGGCTTCACCTGAAGAAGGAAAGCAGGCAGCCTCCAAATTTTCTTCCCCTTCTTTTTATTCCCATCATACACAGGCGGGCAACTGAAGCATGAGAGAATTTGGGGCAGAGTTGAATAGCACTGATTTCTTCCTATCAGTGAATGACTTTAAGAATCAGTGGTCTAGGCTGATAGGACATGTATTCCTTCATTCGGCTCTAGTGGCCAACTGTAGTAGGGTAGGCCCCAAACCTTGCTTCCAAATGATTCACTGATCCCCCAATTGGTCTGGCAAACATCAATAACCATGGCTTTTGGCAAAGAACAAGGAAAGGGGGTAGGCTGCCTTCACAATAGCCAGGGACAAGTTAATGTTAGGCATTCAATGTTCTTTAATATACGCTTAGTTATTCTTCATGCCAAGGAAAGCAGAGTATGGGAATAAGCGAATAAAAATGTGCAGACCTCCAAGTCCCTTCTCCTTGTCAAGATGGTTTCAGTCATCTTCATCCATCATTTAGGCATGTGCACACAGTCACACTCTCAAGTCAGTATAATACTGACTCTTGGCTAATGCTTGGACAAATCCCTCCAGGTTTCTTGGCAAGATTTCAAAAGGGCTTAGCCAGTGCCTGCTTCCTAGCTGGCTTTGTGCCTAGAACTCCCAGTCTCCAGGTTTCTAGCCTGCTGCCTTAATCACTACACCAAACTCGCTTTTAGTCTTTTTAAGTCAACCTACCTCTCATCATCTAGGATCCACTATCTTGGGTCAGATCACAAAAGATAGTATCTCACAGCAGCTACAAGGTTGGGGCATCTTTCTTTTAGTAGGGCTAAGTATTTCAGGGAATTTAAGAGATTTTCTGGTGTTACCTTTTCCAAAATGCCCCTTTCGTAACAACAGAATATACGGTATTTTCAATTTGTGCAGGGAATTACCGGGGGGTGGGAAGGAACTACAGCTCTGTTCCAAATCCTCTATCAATTGAAAAAGCAGTACTTTTCAAACAAAACACAGAATTGCAGGGCAAATATAATGGCTAGGTTCAAGACTAGAGGCATTTCACTGAACACCTGTCCTGTTTTCCCAACTTCCAATGAATACATCCCAGAGATACTGGACACATTTAATTTTAATGGGCTTTCTTGAAGATTCTTCAAGTTTCATGTTTTGGGGCAACCCTTCTAAGTTGACTAAAATTTCTAGGTTATACAACAGGGCTCAGCAATTTTTGATACCAGTGTCTGGAGAAGCAGACGATTGCAAGAGGTGGAACAATTAAGTGAAGGAATCTGTCTGGTTATTTCACACATCTGGTTCGGTCCTGGATTGTCTTTCTTTTTTTGTAGTGGGGAGAGAGAAGCCTGTGTGAACCTTGAACTATACATAATGCAGTACATTTAGACTTAATAATAATAAAGTACAAATGTACAGTTCAAAACTCAGGCCACTGTGTTTCCACTCTTAAAATGGTAGGGTTGTGCCATATCCAGTTTTGGTAGATAAATTGTAGACATTAAGTTGCAACAACCATTGGAGATGGCCATGAATCTGTCAGCTGGGGTGGGGTGGGGTGAGATTTTGGACTATGTAGCATTGTCATATGGATCTCTCCATAACAACAACAACAGCAAATAATCTATAATGGTCACTTTAACAAAAATCAGATTTAGAACTGAATCAGTCTAGAAGGAAGATACAGCAATTCAGAAGCATAGGGGAGAAATCTCCATATTGAAAATACTGTATCATTTGCTCCTCAAGAAATACAATGTACTAACTCAACTGTTTACCAAATCTCCAGAGCAAGTTTTAATTCTTTTGTGTGGGTATATTGAAATACAGGGAGGAATATTCCATGAGAAACTTAGAAATTAAACTTAATAGAAATTCATAGACTCCACGATAGAGCTATGTACAGAGGCATGGAAACAACTGAGCTTTGCCACAAAATTCAGTATCTGAAGTAATCAAATGAATTGATATTTTTCATTCAACAAAATGAGAATCGCAAAATCCTATGGTAGTCTTCTGGGCTTTCCCATGCCTTTTCCTTTACTGGGCTGCTGACTTTAATGGCATTTCACAAAAAGAAACACTGCTGTACTACTTCTATATTGTCTCTTCCCGCTTCCACGGTCCCCAAATCTTAAACTGACTCTGAAATACGCTGAGCATACCAGCCCTGTTGATTTCAGCAGAAATACATTAAGGAGGTTAAAACCTAATGGAAATCTGTCCCACTTAAAAGTGCTCAGCTCTGGTTGAATCATGCCTACCGATATTATTATAAATATAAGAAAGCTTTCATACACAAGTGGTTCTACACATAAAAGAAACAGAAACAATCCAGCAACCACAGAACTGTAATGTCTGTTGTATAAAATCCACTGATGCTGTTGGATTCCAAAATGAGACATATCCGTTATATACTCGAGAGCTGTCAAGTTTTAAAATAAAACTTTTTTTTCCAGCAGTTATTTCAACAGATAAACACCATTCTAAACTGAAAGAACTTAAGAATACCTCATAAAAAGCCATTGTAATTTCTAGGGATCTGCAGATAATGAAACAGATTTAAGATGCATATTATACAAAATTATGGGCACAGCCTGTGCCTGGCACACTTGAAAACAAATATAAAAACCGTTTCTTGGTTATCTAATTTTAGACAGAAACAAAATAGAATTGATAGATACGTGCTTAAACCAAAGTCATTTATTAGGTTCCAAAATTCAATTTTATAATGGCATGAACACACTCTCAACAGAAATCAAGTGCTGCTCATTTCCTCCTGCATAAAACCTATCCTAGTTTGCTCTTGAAACTAAAAATAGCCATTAAAAAAAAAGATGCCACTATGTTGTTGTGATGGATCTGGATAACTAGTAACTTATATGCATGTCCACATTTATTTTCTTAGCATTAGTATATAGTTTATGATTGCCACCTTTAAGAATTGTTGTCCCTTTACAGTCTTAACTATGGCTCTAACTTATTACCCTAGTTGTCATCTAATCCTGTTTTTCAAAATCAGGCAAAGTTGATGAAGTGGTACCACCTATAATAAGCAGAACAAGCATTATATGGCCTTATAGGTCAGTTTGCACATACCGTAGTTTCTGCATATAACATTTATTTAGGCTCTATACTTGATTTCTTATTAGCCCATGTGTGCTGGTTAGACAGTATATACTTAATTTAGGAATGAGAGCTGCCCCCTTAAGGGAATGCTTCATGGGAAATGTAGTTAATACCTCATGGGAGATGTAGTTCATGTCACATGGTCACATCTGTAATCCTGATTGGTCACTGACTTGATCTCTGGTGAGGCTGGGTGAGTTTTTTGGGTTTTCTTACCTGGACCCAGCATCGAATGGGAGATTTCATTTGCTATAATGCTATGGGATGAAATAACCATCTTTTCACACTATTGAGGCAACTATTGAGGCAAAGATTGGACATTAGATGAATCTCAACATAACTGTGAGTTATACTTTGAGGATGCCTAATAAAATCCAATAAGTTAACTTTGCATGGAAGCCTTTGTAGGGCTGAACTGCTTGTCCCAGAAACTTTGGGGACGTGAAAGTACTGCCTGGGACATGAAACCATGTATCTAGCATGCCATGAAAGACACATGGCACATCGCATGGGCAAATCAGTGTAGCTTGCACTTTCCCTAGAGCTTTTCACCTAAGAAGATATGACATTTGAAGTAGTCCAATTTGTCATTAGCTAACTTTGATATACATATTGTGATGACCCGGAGTGTAAAACAAATGTAACAAAATCCAAAATGTAAATAAATGTCCTTTAATGCCTCCAATTTGGCCCCTGTTCAACAATTCTCAGTTGGAGATAAAACTTATTCAAAAATAGTCTTGAAAAGAAAGCAATACAGTCTGAACTTAATGAGCAGATAGAGGTGAAATAAAAAAAAAAACCAAAACAATGAAGGAAATTCCACAACTGACCAGGATAAGTAATTACCAACTTCAAGGAGATAACAAGGCACAGTCTGTTGGAAGGACGCCAACCAAGGTAATTTCAGCCCAAAATAAAATACACTTTACTTCTGGCAATGCTGTGTTGTGACGTCTTTCTTATATAGTATTCTCCCCAGCTGCAACTAATGAGGGGGATCATGGCCACTTCCTCTCTCATAAGCCAAGTTGTTTCCTTCTGTGTTCCTCCCTGTGTGTCCTAGGATAAAGAGGGGATGGGCCTGGTTCTTCCTCAGACTGTCCAGCCGGCCTCTGCCCTTCCCCTCCTCCACAACCTCCGGAGCCACACCTCCACTCCCTGTTGGCTGTTCCTCCTCTCCCTCAGGGGAATCCAACTCTACCAAGGGCATGACACATATCTATTGTCATATTACATGCTGCAAACACAGGTTTAAAAGTTCTTTAAATCACATACATAGCCAAAAATGTATGGTTCCAATCTGGAGAAAGTTAAGGTTTGGTTCAAATGAAGTAATTTTGCAATAAAACCTTTAGTTTTAAATACAATTAAATTGCCAGAAATGAGAATTGCAGTCACACAAGACACTAAATTACAAATCAGTAACTTGTATAGTATCATAAAACTATTAACATGTTTGTTCTTTACCATTCTTGCTTTGGATGAACTTTTTAAATGATTCCCAGCTCTCACTCTCTTGGAATAGTAAGTAATCTAAATGGTCAACCATCCATTAAATTCAACCTGATTCTATCTTGCCTTTCAACTCTCATAACTCCCAAACATAATCTAGCTGTCACCAAAGCACCATATGATTCCATTACTATGAGACAAGTAGGCAATCAAAATCATTTAATGTAAGACAATTGTCCTGTAATATTTATTTTCCATGTTAATACTTAACATTACCTACCACTCACAGGAATAATCTCACATCTCCATTTCCCTAGTTCAGAGTCCAAGAGCATCAGTATTAACCTATACCCCAAAAATGCTGTACGGTACCATAATTCTAGGTAGTTAACATGGGGAAAAATTAAAGTTTATTTAACCAGTATTTCCTCTAAATAATGTAGACTAAGGAACTGTACATTAATCAGATATCTTTTTTACCTCTCTGCAGATGCCCAAGATTGTTTTATTACCATTTCTCTTATCTTTATATTAAAATAGCAACATCCTACAAATGTTTAAAAAGGCTTCCTTCTCCATCTCCATATACAATGGGGCAAGAGAAGTCATATTTCATAAGCTAAGCTGTAGAGAATTCTCTCTGCTCATCAGCTATTCTGATACACTGCAGTTTAATACAGTCTACACTTTCTCACCAAAGCGTAAAGCAAATATAGATGAACCCAAAAGGCAGCACCCGGAGAAGAAAAAGAAGAAAAAACCACGAACATGCAATGATGTTCACAAAAAAGCTTCTTGCTTCCGTGATGGTGTAGACTCAAGACAGATTTTTACAGGTTTTTTTCCATTGTTAAAAGCTTCCTGATTTATCCACCACCCTTTGTAACTCTCTCGCTTACCGTGTGCAATTCTTCCCCCACTGTTTTGGTAATGTTTTTTTATATATATCTATATTTATATAAAATTTATATATAAATTTATTTATATATATTTATATATATATTTTCCTGATTTTGGCTTGTCCCGCCAATGTGACCCTATCTGCCAGCCTGACATTTACTGCTTAACTCTTAAGCTCATATGTGAATACATAAAAGTTAAAGACAAGCCGCGATTATTAGGCGGGCTCTCCCGCTGCCCTATTGTTAAGGTTCCGAACCAATTGCCTCAGGAGCGACCCAAGTATGGAGAGGCTACCCCAGGACAACCCAGGGGCGCCAGAAAAGAAGAGCCTTTTTGTGGGGGGAAAAGGGACGACCTGCTGCTTTCAAGGAAAGAGTCCAAAGCGAGATCAGCCGGTACTGGGAGTAACCGGAAGCAGGGGTGTCACTCACTAGTGCCAGGCCTGGAAAGCAGCAGCAGAAACACGGTCATCCCCCAAGCCGCCAGGTGGGCCAGGGCCCCGCAGCCGCGCCGCAGCCAAACGCGGCAGCGGGCGGGGGCGTCCGACATGACGAAATCTTCCACTCCCCACGCCCCAGGCCTTCTCCTCCGGCGTTTATATTCGAAGGGAAGGGAAGGGCTGGGTGTGGTTTGCACTTTGCAGCCGGCTGCTACGCACAAGCACCTGTTGGGCGGGACGTCGCCCGGGAGAAAAGGCTAGGTGGCGGCTTCCCTGGCGAGGCCAGGTGAGAGATGCTGCTGGGCAGCTTTCGTTGCATTCCGCTTCCAGTCTCTTCTTACGGGACGACCCACAAAGCGTCTTGCCGCCTTTTTAAGGATACGCGTGGTTTGTTTGGAAATGACCAGGCCCGAGTAATCTTGCGGCCCTAATGTGTGGAGAAATGATCCAGAACGAGGGAGGAAACTGGAACGCAATGCCCGCTACCGCCTCACCCAGACTAATTCTCAGGACTCACTTGCCCAGGGGTCTCCAACTTTGGCAACTTTAAGACCTGTGGACTTTGCTGGGAGTCGAAGTCCACAAAGTCTTAAAGTTGCCAAGGTTGGAGACCCTTGTAGTTGCCCCCAGTTAAGCCAACTTACTGAGATCGGTAAGTTACAAGTGTCATGTTGGGCTAAAATAGGATGAGTTGGTTTGAGTTGCACCTGGTGTTTAAAATACATTGAAGAGGGCAAGTGTCAATCAGATGACTGGTAAACTTATCAACTTCAGGTAGTTCTCGATTTACCACATTTCATTTGGTGACTGTTGGAAATTACAATAGCACTGACTTTATATGACCTTTTTCACATTTATGACTATTGCAGCATTCCTGTGTCACAGGAACTGACTCATTTGCCATGGTTGCAGTGCCCTGGGGTCATGTGATCACTTTGTGCAACCTTCTGACAAGCAAGGTCAATGTGGAAACCAGATTTACTTAACAACCAATTTGCTAATTTAACAACTGCATTGATTCACTTAACAGTGGTAAGAAAGGTTGTAAAATGGGGCATTGCTCACTTAATAAATGTCTCACTTAGCCACCGAAATTTTCATTTCAATTGCAGTTGTAAGTCAAGGACCACCTGTATAGCGCAATAACATTCCATGAATCCAGCCTACCATGACTTGGAGTTAAGGTGAGCATCATTCTCTCTTTAATATCATCCATTCTAACATCTCCTCTCTTCACCTTTTAAGGAAGATGTTGCAGATTCCAAGAATTGGGATTTTTCTGGAGTTTCTTACACGATACTTCTAAATGTCAGTTTCATAATTTTCCAGGGTATGAGGTCAACCTCCAGATGTATATCTATATATTTTCTTCTCTTCCCTCAACTTCATGATATGGATAAAGGTACATGGAAAGCATCCATCTGTATTCTTCCTGCTGTTTTGAAAACACTGGGTCACTTCTCTGTGTCTGAGAAGCAGTGAAGCAGCAGGGTGTACTGAAAAGATCAGTTCTGCCATTACAAATGACCAAGTGAGGCTTATCTAACTTTTTACTCTGAAATTCAGTGAAACAAGACAGAACTCACGTTATTGGTTAAATGGCCATTTGTATATACTACTGCATAATAATTATGTATACTCAGCGTTTCTGGGTTCTATTCCTTCAAGTCACACTGCTAACACTGTCAGGTACCTTCCACAACTTCTGAAAACTGAGGTAATTTCTTGCTCCTGAAATTTAGCATCTCTATTCCCCCATCTTTCTCTATGAATGCCAGTTGCCTCATCTCTTAATCAGAGATCTTTGCTGATATTTAAGCTGTCTTCAGTATCTAGAACTTTAAGCAGTAAACAAGTGCTCCTTTAACCCTGGGCTTCTCAGGCGCAAACCCCAATTAATTAATTAAAGTTTGATAAGATATTCGTTCCTCAAATTCTTAACATGTTTTCTGCAGCTCAAGAATTGGACATAGAGTGAAAAATCTCTTGTTGCTGGGTTAAGCCATTGTCACTGTAATGTTTTGATCCAGCTCTCTTGTTGCTAAGCTACAGGTATGCATAAAAAAGAAGTATTGGTTTTCCTTTAGCAAATAATGTACATTACTCTAGAGCAGTGGCCCCCAACCTTTTAGGGCATCAGGGACAGGTTCCGTTGGAAAGAGATTTTTCTGTGGACCGGAGAGAGCATGTGCTGCTTGCATCCCACAGGTGGGTCTTTGCTTATTTGTGCAGCCTGGTTTCTGTCATACCGTGGAACGGGAGTTGGAGACCCTTAGAGTCTAGACATCCAGAGCCACTGAATCCTCTATATTTTTCAAACCAGCCTCCTTCCAGATGTGCTGAACCACAACTTCTATGGTGCTGGTTAAATTTATTGCTAAGGTTCGATAAGGGGACCTAGCTGGGGAAACCTGGAGTACAAAGTGAGTTGATAGCAGAATTGCCATAGAAAAACACTAAAACAAGCATTTGGTTTTAATTTGCACAAAAACAATTCTTGTGTGTTTATGTACTTGGTGGAGAATAAACAATTTCCATGGCTATTGCCTGAAACGCGCATACTCATCCCTGTCCTCCAGCTCTGGTTTTTGTTTTTAATCTTCAAGATTTGGTCCAATAACCGTTTTTAACATTAGAGAAGGAGCAAAGGCAAACCTGCCTTCTTCTCATCTAAAATTTCCAAACCAAGAACAGAGATGAAAATGGTTCTTTCAGTCATTCTATCTATTCTTTTCTTGCACTGATACAGCAGTCATGTATATCAGGGGTGTCAAACTCGGGATGACACATTGTCATCACGTGAAGTATCACAACTTTTTCCCCTTTTGCTAAACTGGGGGTGGGGGTGGCCAGCACATGATGCATCCGGCCCACAGGCTGCAAGTTTGATACCCCTGGTGTATATGCTATACTAGAAACATGGTTTTTGTTCTGCTTTAAAAGCAAAGAGTACTTAGAAGCAAAGAGAGAGGGAAGCTGTGTCAAGGTACAATTAGAAACAGAGACAGAAAAGGATGATCAAAGTACAGCAAGAAAATGGGCATTTGCCAATGCAATTATTATTTGCCAAGTTGTATTAAGTTGAACTTGACATACGCAGGAAGATGGCCAAATATTAATATCTCCTGTAATCCTAATTATTGTATGATATCCCTGCTTCTGTACCGCTCCGGTCATTATATAGTTGGGAAGGGGATTCTGCATTTTGGTCAGTGTCCTTTGATTCAGTTTTTGTCTTTCTTTCCCTTCTCCTTTCAGTTATTTATTTATTTATTTATCTATCTAGGCAAAACCACCACAACACCAAAAAAGAACAATCACAGTCTTCAGGTATTTTAGAACATTTTTTTCTTTAAAAAAATACTATAAAGTTATAAAAAGCAAAGAGACTTCGGATTGGATCCATGGACAGAGTTCTCAGACTGCTGGCTTCTGCAGAACACAGGCACTTGCTGTTAATGTGCTTTTGACTGTCAAGAGAAGAAAGAAGAGAGCGTCAATGCAAAATATGGCAGTTCATGTCATCCCAACCACAGAAAATGTATCTGTTGTGGCTAGTGTGTAGCCAGCGCTGCTTTGAAATGACTAAAGGACATGCAGCTATACTTATTAATAACCTTTCATAAAGCTTAAATGGATTTGGTATATGTTATCATAGCACCATGTAGACAAGGATATTTAGCTGAAAAAAGTTTGATCGGGTTTCAAATAAACACGGTCCCCATTCTACTCTCCGCAGCAAGTGCATAAATTGGACTATAGTATAGTAAGGAATTGCTCCCTTGCGGTCCATAATTATAGGTTCATAGTAATTCAGAGTGACACAAAAACCTCACATTGTACTCCAGCAAGCAGTCAGTTATTTCCACATAGTTCCTCCATGTGACTGCAAAAACATTTGAAAGATTTTTCCAGTCCACTTTGCTTAAACAAGGGGACTTAAACTGAATGGGAGGAACATGTTGAACGTACAAGAAATTCTGAGAGTAGAGAGATGTGGTCAATTGAAATATAGTAAGGAGTGAGCCTGCAGAGATGGGCAGATGTTCTTCTGATTTATATACACTGAACCTCCAAGTCACTAGTGGCTGGAATCCCACTCAGAGAACATCAGGAGCTATCACAGCAACGGCAGCTTAATTTTTCAGGAACAAAATTTTAAAATGAAATCTCTACTGGATTTAGTTTATATTTCCATGGCAAATGAAATAAACTAACTCAAAGCAGAAAGAAACTTCCTGAGTTGGCAACGGGGAACTGTTTTAGCACAACACACTATAACTACAGTTGGTGGCACAATATATTTAGTAAATATATAATTCAGCATTTGGGAACTTTGGCTGGCGGTACCAGATTATATGATCCTCAAATCGGCAATAAGGAATATGCAGATCATTCTTATTTTAAACTGAAAACCAGCATTTCCTCAAATCAGTTATCTGAAGGTAAGCTTAATCTAAGTACCATTTCAAAATTCCTATATCTGTTTAGCCTTTCATAAAAAGTTTTAGAAGCAGATTTTTTTTCGTTCTTAGTGGGAGAACCAAGCATAATTTTGCTCACACTTTGCCATTAAACCACCAATATTAGCTGAACTCAGATATCTTGAATGCTCAGCTGTCTTTCTCCCAAAAGAAAACTTACAGCTCTTTGAGTTGCAGAAAACAGAGGTGTGCCTGGCACAAACAGAAACATACAAAAGGGCTACTGATCATTAGCTGGGGTTTCATTCCCCATTCCACTCAGCTCATTTTAAGATAAGTTTAACAATTTGCAAAATTGCACTAACATCTATCAGTGTGTCCAGATGCTTGATTTCAACAAGTTGTTACGAGATATGAATTATACTGGAGTCAGAAATGTAATCTTTAAATTAAAGGTTCATTTCTAATGTATTGTGTGGTCTCTTTTCTTCAGTTACGTTTCCAGGAAAATGTATAATTTGATATCCTTGATCAAAACCTGACTATTCCAATATATTTGACTAAATATATTTATGTCCCTTCCAAGAGCTCTTAGCTGGCATTTTGCTGGCACCCATTCCTCAGGATGACAGCAACTAAACAGAAGAATATTCTACTTGTGAATTGCTCCTTGTGCAGCTTTTATGG